TGGCAGCCGCCATACTAGGGAGAAGTATACTAGCTCTAACGGCTACACAGAAGAGGCTGAGTTTCTAAGGGAGTAGACGACTAAGGAGGGAAAAAAAGAAATAAAAAAGAAGAAGAAGAAAAGCAGTCTGATGCTGAAAGGGCTAGCAGCAAGGCACCTCATCGGGCCCATCTCGGGCCTCCTCAAGTAAATGACAGGCAAGAGGAAAATGGACCAATAAATCAGTCCAGCCCAAATGGGTCTTCAAATAGGAGATGGGACATAGTGGACAACACTTGTCTAAATGGTCAGAAGGAACAATCTAGAATCTCAAGGGGAGCAAAGGAGCAAAAAGCAAACAGAAGCTCAGAAGAGAGTGCATCGGACGAAGCGGACAGAAGTGAGGAAGATTGAGATGAAGCGAGTAAGTTCTGGGAAGGGCTAGCAAGTGAGGAAGAGTTATCACAGCTGAGAAAGAAAGGAAAATAGCAGAGAAAGTTGAGGAAGAGCAAAGGAGGTCGAAAAAGGAAAGAAAAAAGAAAGATGAAACAGATAGTGGCAGAAGGCATGGAAGTGGGTTTAGAAAAATCCAAAGAAGGAGATGCTTTAATGGAGAACAGAGCTGAAGTTTCTCAAAGAGGGATCTCCATTTCAGTAAGTGACATCAACAATTGTAATAGGAGGTTTATGCTGAGATCGTGGGAAGAAGAGGCAAGTGAACTATGGGCAGTGGGAAAAAATTTGCGTTTGGTTAGAAGGGGTAATGAGGAGGAAATAATCAAAAGATTGGGGGAAATGGAGAAGAGGGATAGATTGGCTCTAGCAGAAAAGAATCGAAAGGCTAGAGCAGAAAGGGAAGGGCAGGAATTACTTAGATGAAGGTCCTTTCTTACAATGTGAGGGGGTTAGGAGGAAGGGGGAAGAAAAGAGAAATAAGGGAGATGTTAGCAAAGGAGAATTTTGATGTGGTGTTCATACAAGAAACTAAGATGGACTCAATTGATGTGAGGACGAGCAGAGCAATTTGGGGTGTAAGGGATTTTGAGTGGGTGATGAAACCGACAATAGGTAATTCAGGGGGTATAATGTGCTTCTGGAACCAAAATAGTCTCAAAGCCCATAACAAGTTTGAAGGATTCGGATTTTGTGGGTTTGAAGGTCAGTGGGGGAGCGAAGAGGTACCCTGTTTATTTAGTAATGTATATGCACCATGTGACAAGCAAGAAAGAAGACGACTATGGGCAGAATTGCAGGCTACGTTGAGCAATTACAATGACAGATGGTGGTGCATTGGAGGGGACTTTAATGCTATAAGAAGTGTAGAAGAGAAACAGGGGAAATATATTGATTTCGGCAGTATGGATGCTTTTAATAATTTTATTTCAAGCAATGAGCTAGTTGATTTACCAATGAAAGGTAGGAAGTACACATGGTATAGAAGTCATGGCAAGGCTAGGAGCAGACTAGACAGATTTCTGGTCTCTGATCATTTCTTGCAAAGCTTCCAGAATGTGGTTCAATGGGGATTGGGTCGATCCTTGTCAGACCATTGCCCAATAATGTTGCAATCAAAAGTCGAGGACTGGGGTCCGAAGCCTTTCAGAACTATCGATAGTTGGCTGACACATTCGGGCTTTGAACAATTTGTAAAGGAAAAATGGAACAGCTTTGAAGTTAGAGGATGGGGTGGATTCAGGCTTAAGGAGAAACTAAAAATGCTAAAGAAAGATTTGAGAATCTGGAATAAGGAGGTGTTTGGTGTAATTGAAACCAGAATTGAGGAAGCAAAGGAGGCAATTAAACTAATTGATGAGAAGAATGATATGGGGCAAATTAGTGAATTGGAAAAGAATGAAAGGGCATCCAATTTTAGACAATTGCAAGAATGGGTGGACAAAAAGAGTAATCTATTGTATCAAAAAGCAAGGCTGAGATGGCTAAAGGAGAGGGATGCAAATAGCAAATACTTCCACTCTTGTGTGGCACGACGAAAGAGCCAAAATAGCTTGGGCGGGATAGTCCAGAACGGCAGATGGATTGATGATGTTCAAGAGGTGAAAACAACAGTGAAAGATTTCTTCAGAGAAAAGTTTCGAGAAGATAGATGGGACAGACCAGTATTGGAAAGTATAAATTTTAACATGATTAGTGATGAAGAGAATGCTATGTTGGTTGCAGAATTTGGTGAGGAGGAGATAAAAGAGGCAGTGTGGAATTGTGGAGGTAGTAAAAGCCCCGGCCCAGATGGTTTCAATTTCAATTTCATTAAAAGGATGTGGAGTACACTGAAAGAGGATATATGTGATTTTTTTAGAGAATTCCACAGGAATGGGAAACTTGTCAAAGGAAGCAACACATCGTTCATAGTGCTAGTTCCAAAAAAGACCAACCTACAAGGTATGAATGACTTTCACCCTATCTCTTTAATTGGATGCATGTATAAAATCATCTCAAAGCTATTGGCAAATAGATTGAGGAAGGTGATGCCTAGTATTATTAGTGAAAGCCAGTCAGCATTTGTAGGGAATAAGTAGATTACTGATGGCATTATCATTATAAATAAAGTGTTGCATGATATGAAGAAGAGCAATGAGGCGAGATTAATTTTCAAAGCTGATTTTGAAAAGGCGTATGATAATGTGGAATGGGGCTTCCTTGATTATATGATGGACAAGTTGGGTTTTAATGTGAAATGGAGGATCTGGATGAAAGAATGTGTATCAACGGCAACAGTGTCTATTCTTATAAATGGTAGCCCAACAAAAGAGTTCCATGTGGGAAGAGAGCTAAGATAGGGCGATCCTCTTTCACCTTTTTTGTTTCTGATGGTGGCAGAAGCTCTAAGTGGCCTAATGAGAAAAGCTGAAGATAAGGAATTCAGGTGGGCAAAGGTGAGCTCCGTATCTCGCACTTACAGTTTGCGGATGACACCATTCTAACATGTAAGGCAACTGAGGATAGTGCATGGGCAATGAAAAGTGTAATGCGATGTTTTAAGCTGATTTCGGGTCTCAAGGTGAATTTTGATAAGAGCTGGCTTTACGGAATGAACATAGATGGTGATTTTCTCGGTGTAATGGCATTAATCATGAATTGCTCAGTGGGGTGCATCCCATTTAAGTACCTAGGGGTCCCGATAGGAGCAAACCCAAACAGAATCTCGACATGGCGCCCGGTGATTGAGTGCATGAGAAGAAGATTGGAAATTTGGGGGGGATGGGCATTATCTTTCGGAGGTAGAATAGCCCTTCTCAAGGTGGTATTATCCTGCTTACCCGTGTATCTCTTTTCTATATACAAAGCCCCAAAAAAGGTAATCTACATACTCACCAATCTTCAACGCAATTTTTTATGGGGAAGGGGGGAGGGTAAGAGAAGGATTGCATGGATAAAATGGGAGGAGGTCTATAGGAAAAAATCAGAGGGAGGTCTAGGAGTTAGGAACCTTGGAGTTTTAACAAAGCTTTGCTAGGAAAGTAGAAGTAGAGGATTTTGAGGGAGAAAAAATCATTGTGGAGGAAGGTTATTTTTGAGAAATATGGGTCGGCAAGGGAAAAGGGTTGGGATGGGTGTGTGCAGAACAAGAAGGGATCAGCATGGTGGAGAGGGGTGTGGAAGCTAGATAGATTAGATAGTTCGAACAATGGATGGTTAAAGGATGGGTGTGTTAGAACGATAGGGGATGGCAAGGAGACACTATTTTGGCAAGATGTGTGGATAGAAGGAGTGAGCCTAAAAGAGAGGTTCCCAAGATTATTCTCTTTAGCTACAAACAAAAGTGATTCAATAGCTGAAGTAAAAGGTGACAGTGAAAGAGTAGGAGAATGGCAGTGGAGTTGGCGTAGGAACCTTTTTGTATGGGAACATAATTTATTGCAGGAATTAACAGGAATTTTGAGCCAGGTTCATCTGAAGCAAGGGCAAGAGGACCACTGGACATGGAGATGGGAAAGCACAAGGAATTATTCAATAAGGTCAGCTTACCACCAGATCACCCAATCCCAACGCGCACAAGACAATGGCTATCTTAACCAGATTTGGAAGGCTAAAGCACCACTAAAGGTTGCAGCACTAGCATGGAGAGCTTTCGTCGATAGATTACCAACAAAGATCAACTTGGCAAAAAGAGGAATAATCATCGACAAGGCAAAAATTATGTGCAGCTGGTGCTCAACAGAGGAGGAATCCCTAAACCACTTATTGTTTAATTGTCTCTATTCTTGGAAAATATGGGCATATTGTTACGCTTGGTGGGAGCTTTCCTTGGCAGCACAGGTGAATGTAAAAAGCCACTACGAGCAGCACATGGGACTTATTCAAAAAAAGGAGTTGAAGGAAGCATGGAGGGTAATCTAGCTGACAACAATTTGGACATTATGGGTATGGAGAAATTAGAAGGTTTTCGGGAAAGAACAAGATAGTGAAGAGGAGGTGGGCGAGCTCATAAAGCATAGATCTTTTCACTGGTTAAAAGCCAATTTATACCCAAATTTACATCAGGTTTTATGGAAAGATGATCCCAAATCAGCAATAAAAAGACATGCTGAACAGGAGACGCTAAATGGGAAGGTGTGATCTTTAAATATTCTGTAAGATGCTATATGGTAAAGGAGAGGCAGCACTCTGATGTCTGCTGAAATGTAAACGGGTTTGGGTACCCCTTGTATCCAATAAACAAATTTTTTGGCTTATCAAAAAAAAAAAAAAAAACCTAACACCTTCATTGCATATATATTCAAAAATAAAAAAATTTTATCTTTTCATTAAATATCATCTAAGAAATGGGAGGGTACAAGTTTTGGTTCGATTTGGTGGAGGGATATAGGTAGGGTGGACACCATTGAACATGGGTAAGTAGGTTGGTTAGCTGAGGGTTGAGAGTGAAAGTAGGTAAAGGAGAAACCATTAACTTCTGGTGGGATGATTGGTGTGGGAGGGGAAAATTGGCTAATAGATATCCGAGGCTTTATTTATTATCTGCAGGTAAGGACAACAAAATTTCACAGATGGGAAGCTGGATTAATGGCACATGGAATTGGAATCTGCAATGGAGAAGGAGATTGTATAGCTGGGAAGAACAAGAAGCGGCAGAGGTTATGAAGGAAATCCAGGACACTACAATTACAAGAGGAAAAGATGATGTGTGGGAATGGATCCATACCAAGGACGGGGGATACTCTACAAGATCAGCCTACCAAGCTCTAGCAGGGGCGCACGGGATGGAACATCAAGGAGTGGTTCTCCAAAATGTCTGGAACTCACTAGTACCAAATAAAATGTCAATTTTGTGAGGCAAGTGTTACAAGATAGAATTTCCACAAAGTCTAATCTCTTAAAAAGAGGTATTATTCATAATATTGAGGACTGGAAGTGTGATTTCTGCAGGGGTGAAATAGAGGGGACAAGTCACCTCTTCATTCACTGTGAAGTTGCTTACAACCTTGGGAACGCATGCTTGAAATGGTGGGAGATAAGTGCTACGCTAGACAAAGAATGTTGGAAAGTGTTTCAACAACACTCTAGCGTTCTTAAAAATGATGGGAAAAAGGAGAGCTGGGGATGCATCTTGTTTGCCATTATATGGACAATATGGTTAGCTAGAAATATGAGGATTTTTAAAGGAAAGGACGCAGATGTGAGCAGATTACTAGAGCTGGTCCAGTTAAGAGTTTTCAACTGGATTAAATGCAGAAAGAAAGGCTGTTCTTTTTCCTTGACAGATTGGTTCTAGAATCCTATGGCCTGCTTAAAGAGTACTCACAACAGGAAGAAGATTAAAGAAAAAGTAGGCGCCAGATTAAATAGCTGAACACATAGGAAAAGATCTCTTATTTTCGAAGGGTTAATGTAATTTTGGGGGATCAATGCTGGACAAGCATAAATTTGTGTAACAGGTTTGGAGTACCCCTTGTACATGAAATATTTCTTTGCTTTTCAAAAAAAAAAAAAAAAAATCATCTAAGAAATTGAAAAGTGAAGCATAAATTATAAAGAAATTCCAACAATACTTTGTAGAAAGACAATGCTAACTATTAGAGAAACATTAAATGAAATTAAAAGAAAACCAATACATATAGACATTGATTAATACAAATTTTGGTTCAATATATTATATAATTTAGTCATTGAAAAAACACTATTTTTTGCTATGAAATTAAAAGTAAATAAACTTAAACATGTAGCCATACCTATAATATATAAGAATGAATTAAATTGACAGTACTTATATTATATTTTAATAACTAAAAATATAATATAATAAAAAAGCCAACGACTTAAATAATTCAGTTGTTATTTTTTTTCGTTGAAAGTAAGAGATCCTGAATTTAAGTGCATATCATGCGGATGGGGTGGGATAAGAGATGTGAGATGGTTGTCTTTCATTATGCAACCAATATAAAAAATAATAATAATAATACAATGAGAAAGAAACAGCCTAAAAAGAAACAGGTAAAAATATAAACACGATCCATCCCTTCCTGTCCATCTTCCCTTTCGCACGATCCAACCTCCTCATTCTCCTCACGCTGTACCACCTGCACTGGGTCCATTTCCTCATGCAGCATAGCTGTTTCCTTCTCATTTGATATCCTTCCCTGGCCTGTACTTGTTTCTTTTCAACCCATTGACTCTTTGCCTTCACCCGGCCCTAATCATTCTCCTTACCTCTTGCAAATTTAACTTCCACTGAATAACTCGATTCCCGATGAGCGATACACCCATCTGAAAGAGATGCACTTCTTTCCGCCTGCTGAGCCCTCTTTTTCGAATCCGCTGGCATCTGCTGGGCTTTCTCCCGCCTTAATTGTCGCTGCTTCATCCGTCCAGTCAGCCAATTTGCTTGCTCTTTCCAGATTTCTGCCACTTCTTCTGGATAACAGTTTGCAACTTTTCTATGCCTTTTGCCCGACTATTCCTTAAGGTCCTCATCACGTGATGAGTCTTCTAGATTTGTGTCATTGGCCCTTTGTTGCTGTACCTGTTTCCTTCTCATGAAGCATAGCTGTTTCCTTCACTGTGTTTTTTCGTTTTGTGATTGGAAGGTTAATCCGCTTGAGACTACTGCAGCTATAAGAAAACACAAAAGGATGCTGAAGGAGTTCCATATGAATCAAGAGGGGCGGGTATAATGGGTTCGCTGGGTGGGTTAGTTGCAGCTCACATGTTCTTTGGGTTCTGGTAAAGGTTGCTAGAAGAGTAATTTATGATTATATGCTTTCACTGGTTGTAATCTAATTTTGTATATAGATTGGAGTAACCTTGTACTCCACGTAATAAAATTTATTTATTTTGTTGATAAAAAAGTTCTTCAAGTATTAGAAAGTGTGATAAATTGATTTTTTATCAATCATTTTAAAAGTATGGGTGCTGTTTAACATATTTTCAAAAAATCAGGGGATCGACCCCCCTTCTGGAAGTGGACTGTCAGTGTAACTAACATGTATAATGAAAGAAGAACAAAGGGAAGTTCCCACGTTTTTCCTTCCGATTAAGCTGTTTAATTATGCATTTTCTCTTAGTTTCCAAATCATTCATACACACACGAAAATCAGTAATTATTTCCCTACGAAATACCCAAATCACTCCTTAATCTCCCTACTAAATGCCCAAATCTTGACCTCAATATTCCACCAATCTTCACCGTATTTCCCTAGCCATGGCAGCGCTGGTAAGCTTTTGCTCTCTCTTCCTCACCTTAATTATTTCCACTGCAACCGCTGCAAAAGCTGGTGGTTTTATTGTGGAGTTGATCCACCGTGATTCTCCCAAATCTCCCTTTTACAACACCTCAGAGGCCTACCGCTTTAATCCACCCTCCATCTCGAAGATTTCATTTAAGTCCAGTATCATAGCCAACAACAACGAATACCTGATGAAAATATCTCTCGGAACCCCGCCGTTCCCAATTCTGGCCGTTATGGGTACTGGCAGCGACCTAGTTTGGACACAATGCCAGCCTTGTTCTCATTGTTACGTGCAGGACGGTCCTCTCTTCAACCCTAGTTCTTCCTCCACATACAGAACCCTTTCTTGCTCCTCAAGGCAGTGTCAGATCGTAGAAGGTACGGTTTGCTCCAGTGAAATGGAATCTATTTGCCATTATACGGTCACCTATGGCGACCAATCTTTTACAAGTGGGGATCTTGCGGTGGACACGATCACCATAGGTTCTACAACTGGTCGGCCTTTGGCTCTTCCAGAAACAACCTTTGGCTGCGGACATAACAACGAGGGAAGCTTCAAAGAGGAGTGGTTCGGTATGATCGGACTCGGAGGTGGTGCTATGTCTCTCATTTCCCAGATGAGAAATTCGATAGGTGACAAATTCTCCTATTGCTTAGTGCCTCACACAAAAAGATCAAGAAGCTCTGGCAAGATAAACTTTGGCTCCAATGGTGCCGTTTCGGGGGCCGGAGTAGTCTCTACCCCCTTCGTTCAAAAAACCCCAGAGACCTTCTATATGCTAACCTTACAAGCTATCAGTGTTGAAGATGATAAAATAATATTCACAGGTTCGTTCTTCGGAAAATCGGAAGGGAACATTGTTATTGACTCTGGCACTAGCTTTACAGTGTTACCCTTTGATTTCTACTCCAAGTTGGAGGCATTGGTGTCTAGCAAGATCCATGGACAGCAGGCAGATTCTCCAGTGGAGGATTTGCGACTCTGCTACAATATTGCAAAGGGTAACATTAGAGTCCCGCAGATGACGGTCCATTTCATGGGTGCTGAAGTGAAGCTGAAACCTGGGAATATTTTTGTTCAAGTGAGAAAGCACATCTTATGCTTTGCTTTCATTCATTCCGTGAATGATTTTGCCATCTATGGAAACTTATTGCAGAGGAATTTCTTGGTTGGATATGACACTCACAAGCATACTGTGTCGTTTAAACCAATGGATTGCACCAAGGCATAAGGGATATACATGATCTCTAGCTAGTAGTGCAGTGCCTAATAATGTTTATCCTTGATCTGTTTATTAGCTTTAATTTATAATCTTACATTGACAACAAAATAAATAATTCAGTGATAATTTTCTTTTAATTGAAAGTAAGAGATTTGAGTTTGAATTGCCTAACATATTGGTAGGGTGGGATAAGAAATGAGAAAAGATTATGTCTCATTGTACAACATAAGATAAAAAAAAAAAGGTTAAAACCCCTTTTTGGTCCCTGGACTATTGTACGGACCCCCGATTTGGTCCCTGAACTAAAAAAATCCCTGATTTGGTCCTTACTGTTT